CACACACACACACACACAAAGTTTCAGACTGTAAAGTTCCTCTCGTTATTTAGTTGTGGGTGAACCGTCCCTTTAAGCCTCTTGTCTTCAGAGCACCAGATCTCAGCGTCAGTCACCGTGTGGGTATTTAAAGAAGTCGGCGGCAGCAGATGGCTCACCTCATCATGAGGACACAAACACACAAGTTTGTGGCTTTTTTATTTTGCAGCCTCTGGCTTTTCTCTTTGTTTTGTATCGTTGACAACATGAGATGTGGAATGCTTCTCGACGAGTTTTCCTCCTCTGGGATTTGGCTGTGCCGGTGTGAAAATGATGGGGGGGGGGGGTGTGGCTGTTGACCCTGAGATGTGGTTGTTGGCATCGTAGCGCTTTACAATGGCCTCGTTCCAGTGTTTTAATGTGAAAATACAACAACGCCGCCGCGGAGCTCCGTCAAGCATCACCATACTTTTGAGAAGTGCAGATAAAGTGGGCGTGGCGCGGCGTTGTTGACTTTTCTCGTGGTTTCTACGCAGGTCGAGGCCGTTGTAAAGACTGTTTGGATTTTCGGCCGGTCGTTGACGTGTGTGTGGAACATCTGAACGCTCCTGCTGACGACAGCAGAGGAATAGTGCTCATGCTATTCCAGAACCTCTTCCTTTGGTGTGCCTCTGTTCTTTCTCTCCTTGCAGTTAAAAGAGAGTCTCCTTCACTCCTTCCTCTCATCCTCCTCTCACCCCTGATGACGATTTCAAAGCACAGACGCAGCAAGAGAAGGAGAAGAAAGCAAATGAGATCGGGACAGGGAAGCAGAGCGAGAGCGAGGGAGAGAGAGCGAGGGAGAGAGAGCGAGAGAGAAAATGAAATGGGTGAAGGATACGGGGGGGGGGGCTCCAGGCGTCTGATAGGGCCAATTTCTAATCAGGATGAGAGGCATGGGCGTCGCTTTGATGCCGCCGGTAAGTGGAACACAGAAGAAGACCTGTCGTTCGCCCACAGAGACGAACGAGCACAATAGATGAGGAAGAGGAGGATGAGGAAGAGGAGGAGAATGGGACTTTGCTTTTTAATGTGACATCTGTGTGAGCTCATCTCTGTGATGTGTGTCCTCCTGTGTGGATGAGATGCGATTTATCCTCCTCTCTCGTGTTTTTTTTTTTTTTTTTTTTCCTAACTGTTGAAAAACACAGATGGAGCGAGCGCCTCTCCGCCGCCATAACTCTGGAGGGAGTTCAGTCTGACTTAAGTCGCAGCTGCGCTTCGTGCTCGGCGCTTGAACGACCACGAGCAAACCTGCATCTCCGTTAAACGTCCTGCAGCTCCACACGACTGCTTAAGGATATTTCTGTCACTTTATTAAACACGACATACGGCGACGTTAAAACTTAAGAGGTTGAACCATCTGTTGGAAATAATATATGTGTCAATCAACATTTCAAAAGTCAAAATAAGTTACCCTGAGAAAACTGAACTCAATCCAGCGTTACGGATGAAAACCACTAACACGCATTTTGTCTGAAATAAAAACTTTGTGGATGTTGCATGACAGGGTCCATGTTTTGATTCACTCGTTCACACGTTTACACTTTTAATCTGATGTTTATCTCGTAAAGCTGTCGGTGTCCTTCTGTCTCCGTCCAGTTTCATCGCCGCGAAGATTTCGAGCCAAAGTCCTGAGCCCCACGATGCTGCAGGTGCTGTGGAAAGAACCGAAAGGAGAGTTTGAGAGCTACAAAGTCGTTTACACCACACGACCAGGTGAGACGCCGCTGTGAAGACAGTCAGAAATTCTTTTTCCCGTCGTGTCGCTTCACGGTTTGACGCTCAAGTTCTGCAAAGTTAAAAAAAGTGTTGAAGGGAGTTTCTTCTCCTGCACAGGAAACACTGACGCTCCTGAAACACCTCGTCAGTCGTGCAGATCAGAGTTCTCACACGTCGTTAACGTCGACTGTGATGCGTTGATGTGTCTGTGAGAGCGAGTGAAGAAATGAAGCAAAGTTAGAGCTGTGAGGAAACACTGCAGACGTGTCCTGGCGATGATGAACCGATGAATGTTTGTGTTTGCGAGAGTCGACTGTGACGTTACGTACGTTCACGATCTGAAGAGCAGAAAATGGAGCCGTGTCGCTGGAAACTCTCTCTGCAGGAATCTTCTAGTTTAAACTTGAGTCATCAGGAATTCTCTCTCCTCCTCCTGTACAGTCCTGTTCACACACTCAGCCGCTCCACACCTGGAGCCTCTGTGGGGGATTGGCTGTCTGGTGCCTTGCTGAAGGGTTCCTCGGCTGTGACCCCTGCAGCATTAAAGAGCTCCGTGAAAGTCAAGTAGAGAGGAAGACAAACTGATCTTTCTCTGGTGGGTGCAGATTCCTGCAGGAGTGGAACGTGAGGTTCTCATGTTGTGTCGCCCGCTTGTTGCTTCATAATTCGTTCTGCAGAGAAACAGACACGTAGCCGAGCAGCGTCTGAAATCTCTGACTCTCGCTCTGGAAATCTGTGGTCGATTACAGGAGGCACAGCTCAGATTTATCTCTGAACGCCTCAACAAGTTTGTGAAAACTGCTCGAGGCTCAGACTGATTTTTGGAGCGGATTCTATTATTAGGGACACAGAGACTGTAAATAAAGATGGACGACGCGTCTCCGAGAGCTAGAATCTCTCAGATGCAGGTGCCGCCATCTTTATGTCAGTTGTTTTAAAACAAAATCAACGAAGCGTTTTAGTTCAAAACTCCTCAACTCTGAGAACGTGGGCGTCATCGTTTCCTAAAGTTTCAGTTCAGATTAAAACACAACCCCAGAGGTTTCAAACTGAATCCAGCTCTCAGAGGAGGAACCTGTCGTTCTGTTCGGACTTTTCCGAGTTTGAATTCTGTCGCAGATTGACGATGATCACGGTGATAAACTCACGCACGTTCATTGGTGAGCTGCTCTGTCATCATCGCAGGTGCAGACGGTTCTACTGCTCGTGGATTAAAGTTAGTGATGAGTCTGTAAACAGCTGCGTGTTTCTGGATGTTGTGACGAGCAGGTCGTAAACCTCGTAAACCTCGTAAACACCTCGTCTGTTTATCACCTTTTCACTCCTGAAACTTTCAACTTCACCACGTAAAAGAGTCTGTTATTGATTTTATGGAGAAGTTTCCGACATGGAGTCTGCGTCTGTGACCGCTGCAGCCAGAGGCGTTATGTTCAAGGTTATGTCGAGGGTCAAATTCACTGTGACCTTGCAAATCCCTCTTTAGCTTTGTGAACACGATAAGTTAAGAACGCCTCGAGAGAATTATTTCAAATTTGGCACAAATGTTGAGCGAGACTCACAGAGGAACTGATTAGATTCTGGAGGACAAAGGTCAGAGTGAATGAATGAATATAGACTGAAACTGTGCTGGTCACCATGACGACCCGCCACAAATCCTTCTTCTTCTTTGTGTCTGATAAAGTGTAAACAGGAAGTTTCCTGAAACCACTGGACACTTTTTCTCTTCTCTTGATGTATTTACTTGTTTTTGGGTTTGAACACATCGAGCGTCGTCTCAAAGCTTCGTATCCTCAGATATTTTCACAAGGACTCAACGTTTTCACCAAAGCTCGATGAACTCCTCTCGGACGTGCCCACACAGCTCGATTTGGCAACATGCTGCCTTCGGGAGCCGCTCAGTTCTGAGGAAGGGAAAGAAAAAAAGATAAATGTTGAAAGTAAGTGGAAGTGGAAGGACGCTGCGTGAGAGGGAGGGTCCTCGATCATGTCCTCGCTGCAGGCTGCTGATGTCAGCGTGAGCACGATGGAAATCCAGGGACGGAGCTGGAGTTGATCCACACAAACAGCTGGAAGAACTCAGCTGGATGTTTTTTCTTTTAAAGTCGAGACTCATCCTCACGTTCAAGCCTGTGTGATTCTTTTCTGAAACTTAATCCTGTTTTTTAATCGTGCAGACGTTGTTTTTCATACCTGACAATTTATCGTTTCCTCCTGGATCATTGATTTTTATTTTTTCAGAAGCACGACAATGAGCAGGAGGCAAAAAGACACAAAGAATTTAATCTCACACACAAAGAATAAAACACAAACTGAAGCTAAGCTGCTGTTGTTACTCGGAGGACTTTGGTTTGCAGCTCCGACAGTCAACCATCGTCCTGCACGATTAGCTGCTTCTCTTTTATTCGTTTTTTCATTATTCCTGAGTGATTTCTCTGGGTCGTGTTCATGTGGCTTCTCCCTGAATTTTCTCCTTTGCTGCCGTGACGAGCTGTTTTCACCTCGGGCGTTAATAAAGTCTGTCGCTCCTCTCCTCGCTCTCTGGCGCCTCGGGGCGTCTCACTGTTCGTTTTCTTTTCTGGGCAGTTTGAGTGATGGTGTCACTCTCAGATGGTTCGTTTGATCGTTGGATGCTGTTTGAGAACGTACAGGTGTGTGTGGAGTAAAGAAGAATTCTAGAAAATAAAGATTTCGTAGTTTTCCTCTCACTGACTTCTGTGGATATTGTTTTCTTTCCTTCCTCCTCGCACCTTCTCCATCCCTCTCTCTCGTCCTCTTTCGAAACGTCTTCATCTCTTATCTCATTATCTTGTCATCTGTCTTCTCTCCATTTGTTTCCTTCACTCTCTTTCCTTTCAGTTTAAGTGGACGGTTGTTCTGACGCAGGTCCACGTCTCTCAGTCCTCTAACGCTCGGCTCGCTGAGGCCGATGGCGAACGTCTCCTCCTGACAGGAAGTTCAGTCTGAGGTTGACTCTCGCTGTCAGTGATTATAAAGTTTTGCTTTTCTCTTCATGCAGCTGAAACAGATGTTGTGAGTGGATGTGTTGAGTTTATGTGAACATAATTACATGGATTTCACAGAGCGATCCCTGAGTGTCACATTAGAGGAGATGCCAGACTCCGTAAATCAGCCTGAAGCAGCTTTTTAAACACGAGAGAGATGCAATTAAAGTGGAATAAAACATAATGAAGTGTTTGTGCTTCGGACTCAAACCTTTCTCATATTTCAAAGTGTTTGTTTCCTCTGATAAAGAAGAAGATTCTATTGAATCTTGTGTCTCAGTGTTGTGAGGAAAAGTTCAGCTTCGACTAAAATATCCAACGTTTCTGCATAAAGCAGGTTTACATGAATCTTATGGATTTTAAATGGATGAAATGGACCAACCCCTGCTCCCTCTCTCTCTCTGATGTGTTTGGTTCCTCTCTCGCCCTGCACAGGTGGACAGAAGGAGGAAGTTCAGGTATCGAAACAGGAAGCGAAGCTGCTCATCGAGGACTTTGACCCGTCTAAAGAATACGACTTTAAAATCGTTGCGGTCAGTGGAGGACGTGAGAGCAAACCTCTTCAGGCCAAACATGAAGGTAGGACACTCGGTTTCCTCTTCCTCCTCCTCCTCCTCTTCCTCTAACACAGTTTTTAATGGTAGCTGTTGTGTCTTGCAGCTCAGCGATCAGGCATCGAGGTGGTTCAGTCCCAACGGAGACCAGACGCCGGAGTCACGGAGGAGAACAACGAGATCTCGGAAGGTAAGACGCTCGGCGGGTTAACGGGAGACAAACCAGGCGACCGGAAAAGATCGATGCACCCGTCTGAGTCTGGATTCACGACCTCGTCTGTGTAACGACAGCAGAAGAAGAAGAAGAAGAATTGAAATGTCCCAGGAAGACGACCTGTAATCCTCCGCTCTGAGACGACGCACGTTTTAAATGTTTCATGAAAGCATTAAAAGAAGACGGCTCAGTAGAACCAGGTAAGATGAAGAGGCCTCAGGTTCACTGAGGAACCAGCTGGATTCACCTCGTAAATAAAACACTGGGAAACAGCCACTTCTTGGTTTTTCTAATCATTATTACTCCGACACATCTGAAGAAGGACGGAGGCCTGTGGGCGAAATATTCCTGCAATTTCACGGCGATTATCATCGAGCCTCATTCCCCGAGAAAATGGAGGCAGAGGAAATAAAACGAAGGTGCGACGGAAAGAGTCAGGGAGCGAGAGGCTGCAGCAATCAGGAAATGAGCGGAGGGAGGGAGGGAGAGCGGTAAACAAGCCTGTTGTAGGTTTGGACGTGATGATGATTGTGAGCGGAACAATCAGGAACAAAACAAAGACAGGAAACAAGCAGGTAAGACTGGAACTGTCGAGTTTCACCTCAACATCTCTGCATCAGTTTCAACTCTTTTGAGTGGAGCCCGACAGATTCCACGTGCTTCGCTCCCACTGTCCAGAAATCTCCGACACAAACACACGGAGCAGTCGTGATCGTGGCTCGGACCAAATACGCTCCACCAATCAGGAGTCAGCCGTCCGTCATGACGTCTCTGTTTTTACATCATCTATAACTGATTAAACCGAACTGATGAGAAACACTGGAACAAACACCAGTGAGATGAGAACGAGCTGAAACCACAGAAACATCTTTGACCAACTTTGATTTAACGTCTGTGTGTTAAACAGATCGAAAGAAAACAAATTAAACCAAATCTTCACAACTTGAATTTAGAAAATCTTCTTTACGTAAAAAAACGTTACACAAACGTTAACGCAACAGTTTATTATGTCGAATAAAAGTTTTCATGTTTGAACATGAACTCTGATTCTGATCGATCAGTCGGGCTCCACGTTCAAAGAGTCAGTTTGTGTCTTCGTCGTTTCAAACTGTAAAATATTGAAAATGTAAAATGATTTGACTCATGATGATGTTTTCTGTTTCATCAAAACCAAACTGAATAAAAGGTTTGTGAACTGAAGTCCTGTGTGTGTGTGTGTGTGTGTGTGTGTGTGT